CCGCCACACGGCCTTGGCCCTAGCTTCAGCCCTTCCCCAGGGCTGGAGCTCCAGGCCCCACAGAGCTGGAGAAGCCCAACCGTAAGCGGTAAGTGTCACCCAGTAAAGGTGACGTTAACCATTCACATCCCTATTTTGAATAGGAGTTTCATAGTTGGGCTTTATTTTATACTGATTGTAGGGGGGGGGGTTGGTTTTTGTTTTAAACCACTCAGCTGGTGGCCTTTTTTCAGCTTTTTAAAGATTTTGAGCAAGAAGTATTACTAGTCAACCTGTGGAACTCCTTGCTTGAGGAGGTTATGAAGGCTAGGACTGTAACAGGGTTTAAAAGGGAACCTCCATGAATTTATCTACTTAAGTCCATCAATGGCTATTAGCCAGGCTGGGTGAGGAATGGTGTCCCCAGCCTCTGTGTGTCAGAGTGTGGAGATGGGTGGCAGGAGAGAGATGGCTTGATCATTACCTGTTCGATTCCCTCCCTCTGGGGCACCTGGCATTGGCCACTGTGGGCAGACAGGCTACTGGGCTGGATGGACCTTTGGTCTGACCTAGTGTGGCCGTTCTTATGTTCTTATTATTTTTTGTATTTTATAGGAATACCCAGGGCTTGGCAAGTGGCAGCGAACCCGCTCGCCAGCCATGCAGTTTGGCACGCTGCGCATGCGCAGACCATGCTGCACATACGCTGATCGCATGGCAGTACCATGCCGGGCTAAAATCTACTTGCCACGGGCGAGTAGATTACCGTAATTGTCAAGCCCTGGGAATACCTATAGTTATTTTTAAAAGTTGATTATAATGATAATTTTTATTGTTTTAGTTTATTATTGACAAAGGGATTTAGGGTGTTTATTTTGGGTTTCATTTTTATTTTCATTTATTTTATGTTTAATATTAATCACTTAATGTAAAAAAAAAAAAGTTAAACTTTGTGAGAGCATCAGAGCACTGGAAGAGTTAGCTAACAAAGTGACAGCTGTCACTAGATGCTCGCTGCCAGATGAAGAGTAGCTGTCCATTTGGCAACCTTGAATAAACATATTTGAATGGATTTTTAGTGGCATTTTTAAAAAACTGATTTATTTTTATATATCTAATTTTTAAAGTGTTGTTTGAAAATTGAGGACCCTTGCTATGTTTGTTATGAGAGACTAAATATTTTAAACTTTCTTGGCTTACCTTTTACTAGCTGAAGTTTTGAACTTTTCTGTTTTTTAAATTATTTTAGCCTTTAAAGAGCTTTGGGGAGGCATGTGTGTAAATTGCAAGTTATGAACAAATGGCTCGTTTAAGTTGCTTGCATTTCTAAATTGCTATTCATTTGTATAGTTAAGCTTTGACCAAGGTGGCGGGGGGTTTCCAGCTGAGAGCTCTTTTGGCCTGGGCTTTGATAACTGCTGTATTTTAGCAGTTTAGTTCCATTTTTTCCTTCCGTGTTTCAGTTATCTCATCTGAACTAAATTTTTTACAGTGAACAGTGCTTGCGCTCCAGGGGAAAAGTTGTTGAGCTCTGACTGGAGGTGCCGGTACAGCGTATTGAGCAGTACCGTCACACACAAAAAACACCGATAGTTAAACAATTTAAATGGGATTGTTCTTGTACCTGCTGCAGCCATCGCAATTCATTATTTGCAGCCTTTTTTGTTGGGAAGCACCCGTTTCCTTCAGAATGACCGTCAGGCCTTCCAAGTTGCGTTTGGTGACAAGTCGCTTAGTGCAGGGGTGGTCAATAAGGAGACTGCGGGGCAAATACGGCACATTGACACATTATAGCGTCAGCTATAATAATAAGGATGCGTGGGTGAACGGTCTGATTTAACTGCTCTTTTTATTCTTTATGACTGCAAAAGGGCTGTTTTGCAATGGAGGCACACGTCCGAACAAGCGCACACGACCTCAGTATTGGTGCATAAGGCAAAACTCACTCCGCTCGTGGATGGAAAATCTTAGAGGGGACCCTGGCCCCAAGGACTGATTTCAAATGCAGGTGCAGCCCCCTTTGGAAATCTGAGACACAGTCTGTGAACCCCCAGGGTCCAAGAGCCACGGCCTGAAAAGCATTTGTGTTAGTCTCTAAGGGTACGTCCACACAGCAGCGGTATTTTGGAATCACTGACGTGATTTTGAAATAACACAGTGCGCGTCTACCCGACAAGCCTTTATTTTGAAATAATGTCGGGCTGGAGGACTTCTCGCTCCACCTCCTGTCACCCTCATTTCACGAGGAGTAAGAGACGTCGAAGGAAGAGTGCTTTTCCTTCGCCTTCCTGCTGTGTAGGCAGCGCCAAAGGAAGCTATTTCGACTTAAGCTGCGCAATTGACATAGCTGAAGTTGCGTAGCTTAATTCGACTTGAGCCCTGCTGTGTGGACATGATGCTAAGATGCTACATGACCACGTGTTTTATGTTTTTTAAGTTACAGGCCAACACGGCTACCCCTCTGAGACCGCCCTACGTGTTAGCCATGCGGGGCCCGTGACTCACAGTGGAGCAGTTCCCCAGCCACATCAGCGAGCCAGAGGCCGAATACCTCATCCTCTGACATTTACACTAGTAGTAACCTGCCCAGCCTAGATGGGAAGTTTTATTCATTTGTATTAGAGTAGGGCCTAGCAGACACCCCTGGGCCTTTCCGGTGTAGCCTCCAGGAGCAGCCACAATACAAATCCCAATCAAATCCCACCCTTTTCCCGGCTGCTCTTTCCGGGGTCTCCTGCTTAGAGTGGCAGCTCGCCTCGGCAGTGGGTTTCTACCGCTTTTCATGTGCAGACCCCCGGAAGTAGGGCAGCCCCTTTGGCCCAGTCCGCAAGGCAACCAGGCATGGGCGCTGGGTATCTCGGGCCGGGGAAGGGACTGCCTGTCCAAACTGCCTCGCCCAGCCCTGC